CACACACACACACACACACACACACACACACACACACACATAATATAATCCTCCAATGATCCCACACAGACATGTAGCAGCGTGTCTGAAATGGAGGCTATTAACGGATTATTACTAATAGATAATAGATAATAAAGCGTCAGAGCCCAAAAACCATAAAACCATAAAACCATCAGTCCGGTTCTACTTCAAACCCCCCCGGAGGGGGGGGGGGGGGGGGGGGGGGGGTACTCACCTTCTTCCGGGGCTGCCATTTCATCATATTTGTAAAGCAGGTGAGAGGAGCGGAGGCATGTCAGACCCGGGGTCCCCCTTCCCGGTCCCCAGTCCAGGTCCCAGTCCGGGTCTGGGGTCCCCCTTCCGGGTCCGGGGTCCCAGTCCTGGTCCCAAATCCAGGTTTCAGTCCGGGTTCCAGTCCGGGTCCTTTGGTCCCAGTTCGGGTCTCAGTCCGGGTCTCAGTCCGGGTCTAAGTCCGGGTTTTAGTCCGGGTCCTTTGGTCCCAGTCCGGGTCTCAGTCCCGGTTACAAGTCCAGGTCTGGGTCCGGGTCCCTGTCCGGGTGTCAGTCCGGGTCCTTTGGTCCCAGTCCGGGTCCTTTGGTCTAAATCCGGGTCCCTGTCCGGGTCCCAGTCCGGGTCTCAGTATGGGTCTTTTGGTCCCAGTCCGGGTCCCAGTCCAGGTTTCAGTCCGGGTCCCAGTCTGGGTCTCAGTCTGGGTCCGGGGTCCCCCTTCCTGCTCCCCCTTCCCGGTCCCAGTCCGGGTCTCAGACCGGGTCTTAGTCCGGGTCCTTTGGTCTTAGTCCGGGTCTAAATCCAGGTCTTATTCCGGGCTCCCGGCGAGCCGCTCGAGGCAGGAACGGAGGATGCGCGTGCACGCGGACGCGGTGTGCGTGTGTGTGCGCGTGCGTGCGCGTGCGTGTTATTGTAGTCCGGTTCTAGCGGGGCCGGAGCCTCCTGTCATCCGCCCGCGCGCTCCGCGGCTCTGAGAGCGCGAGGACAGGAGAGGAGAGGGAAACCCAACCCCGGCACGCGCAGACGCACACTCACACGCGCACGCGCACACGCACACGCACACGCTCCCCTCTCTCTCTCTCTCGCTCTATTTCTCCATCCTCTCATCCACAAACCCAAAACTTCTATTAGGATCTCCCCCTTTTACGACACACAAACAAGTCCTCACCCCAACAAATATAAATATAAATATAAATATAAATATAAATATAAATATAAATATAAATATAAATATAAATATAAATATAAATATAAGAGATTTTTCTCAAGATTGTGGAAACATTGGCGTCATCATTTATTTGTGACTCAGTGACTGTCATATTATTCTCTGTTTGTCTGTTTTTCTTTTTCTTTATTATTTGTGTTTAATATGGACCTCTTTTGTGTCTGGAATAAAGATTGATTGATTGATTGATTGATAAATATAATAAATATCAAACCCCTCCTTCTAAAAGTCACCATTTCTGTACAGAAACAGCCAGGAGTTGGTCTTTTCTTTGAGTTATTTCCCCAAAACTCACAGCTAAGAGTGGTTAAAGTTGAGTTTTTTACATCCATCCATCCATTATAATAACCCCTTATTCCCTAATGGGAAATATTAGGGGGGTGGAGTCTATCCCAGTAGCCAATGGGGAGAGGCGGGGTCACCCTGGACGGTCCCCAGTCCATCACAGGGACACACAGAGACACACAAGGACCCACAACCACACACACTCACACTAAGGGCAGTTTGGAGTCCAACAACCTAACATGCAGGTTTTTGGAGGGTGGGAGGAAGCCGGAGAACCCGGAGAGAACCCACAGACGCAGGAGAACATGCAGAACCACCCAGAAAGGTCCTGGTTCCCCCGGGGACTCCAACCCAGAACCCTCTGGTCCTGGTTCCCCCGGGGACTCCAACCCAGAACCCTCTGGTCCTGGTTCCCCCGGGGACCCCAACCCAGAACCCTCCAGGTCCTGGTTCCCCCGGGGACTCCAACCCAGAACCCTCTGGTCCTGGTTCCCCCGGGACTCCAACCCAGAACCCTCTGGTCTCGGTTCCCCCGGGGACTCCAACCCGGAACCCTCTGGTCCTGGTTTTTCTGGGTTTTAGCTAACAGCTCTTTGAAACTCTCCTTATTGGTGTAAACGGTCTTTTCTGTGTCTCAACATGTGAATTATTTTATGAATTATTCATAAATCAGATACAGAAACTGGAACAGAACGCCTAAACATCCAATTTAATTTTAATTCTAATTTAAGTTGTTAGATAGTGTGTGTGGTCATGTTTTTATTCTGTAATGATTTATAGGTCCAAAATAAACTACATTCCTCTGAAAATGACTGAATTCAAACCAAAAAAAGCAGGAAAACAGCTTCAGTGAGCCTGAAGAAAACAGCTCAGAACCTCTAAAATGATTCAAAGCAGCTTGGATAAAGAATATAAAGAAATTATGGATTAAACGGGACGTGAAAAGTGCCAGCTGTCTTCACTGTTTCTGAGAGATGCTCCTGTGTTGTTCAAAACTGGGTTTTCTTTCACAGGGATTTGCTTTTTTCTCCAAATTCTGCAGCAGCCGCTTCGCCTTTGATGTTTGCATCAACCCAAAAGGAGTCCGTGGTCCTCCTGGAGGCTTTTCACCCCACAAAGATAAGCCCACAGACTCTCACCGTGAGTTTTGGAGGGGTTTCTTTGTGGGTTTTTGCTCAGATTTTGGTAAAAATGCACCGGGAAGCAGGGAAATGAAGGAGCATAATGAAATAAAACACTGTTTCCAGCCTCTCTCTCTCTCTTTCTCTCTCTCTCACACACACACACACACACACACTCACACACACACACACACACACACACACACACACACACACAAACAAATAAACAAGCTGTTCACCTCACTGGCACCAGGGGGCGACGTGAGGGGAAACCCATCATCCCACCACAGAAGAAGAGGACAGCTCCAGATGCTTTTTAATATATGGGCAGATGTGAAATGATCATAATGAGCTGAATACTTTCCACCATTTTAGGTTATTTAACTTTGTTCTATTATTTATTTTTAGTGGAAAAGTTATATAAACCTTTATACCTCTGTCTAAACCCAAACTGACTTTCTGTAAGAACTGGTGTGCATTTTAATCCGCCTTCAAGCAGCTGTATGTTGATATTTAGTCGTTTTTGGGTTCATTATTACAACTTTATTCACAGACTTATTTTTATTTATTTCATTTATTTATTTTTATCTTTATTTATGTATTTATTTATATTTTATTTATTTATTTCATTACTTATTTTTATTTATTTATTTACATATTTTTATTTTATGTTATTAATCAATTTATTTAATTACTTATTTTTATTTATTTATTTATTTATTTACATATTTTCATTTTATGTTATTAATCAATTTATTTAATTACTTATTTTTATTTATTAAATTATCAATGTATTCATTTATTTATTTATTTATTTGTTTATTTATTTATTTATTTATTTATGTATGTATGTATGTATGTATTTATTTATTTATTGTTTTAATTCATTCATTCATTATTTAATTAACAGATTTATGTAACTACAATCCTCTGCTTGTCTTCCATCTGAGCCTAATTGACGGTAAAACTGCTGGAGACCTTAAAAACCAAAGAACTGCCCCTGGATGAACTGAGTAGTTTCCATTCTTTGTTGGAAATGCATCCCGGTTGTGTCTGTGAACGGCTCAGCCTTCTGATTAACACTCGAATCACTAACTGGGAGCATTTTTATCCCTTTTTAAAGCCGCTCCTCCGTGTTTGGACTTTCTAATTTCCTGTTTATGCCTGAAAGCTCCGCCGACTCCGTTAAAAGGCCTGAAGTTTGGTTTTCAAATGCAGCTAACGGGCGTAAAAGGGAGATTTCCTCTCTCTGGTTCTGACACTTTCTGCTGGTTGTGGTTCATCAATAGTCTTTTTTTTTTTGTGGTGACATATTGGGATAATTATTCTGCTTTCTAAGGCTCAAACTGCTCCATATTAAAGATAAAGATGATGTGGATTTGGTCTGTCATTAAACACACCCAAAGGAATTACTGTTTTCCCCAATTAAATGACAACAAGAAGATATCAAATCATAAAGAAATTGAAAAAAACCTTAAACAGATGCAAAAAAGGGGCTAAAAAGGGGTTCCTAGCATCACAGAAGCATCTCGAAACCATAAAAAAAGACTCAAAATGTCCTTTAAAAGAAGAAAAAGCAGCTCTCAGAGGTAAAAATTGAAATAAGGGGCTAAAAAGGGGTTCCTAGCATCACAGAAGCATCCCGAAACCATAAAAAAATGACTAAAAATGTGCTTAAAAAGAAGAAAAAGCAGCTCTCAGCTGGCTCCAGGCTACCAGGACCACAGCTATCTATCTGAGTGGCTCAAATTAGAAAATTAAAAGTTGTTTATCTGGCAGCCATTTGCCAGTCTGAGCAAACATCATATTAATAATGTAAAATGTATTTTTGCCAGGAGCTAAAGCTTCCAGAGGATTTTGTTTGTTTCCCGAATGCTGATGTGCAAACACAGTGGTTTCATCCAGATGTTGGACCTGAGTGAATTTCTCCAATGGGAGATCAATAAAGCTTATCTTATCTTATCTTATCTTATCCTATCTTATCTTATCTTTTCTTATCTTATCTTTTCTTATCTTTTCTTATCTTATCTTTTCTTATCTTATCTTTTCTTATCTTTTCTTATCTTATCTTATCTTTTCTTATCTTGTCTTATGTTATCTTATGTTATCTTATCTTATGTTATCTTATGTTATCTTATGTTATCTGATGTTATCTTATGTTATCTTATCTTATCTTATCTTATCTTGTCTCATGTTATCTTATGTTATGTTATGTTATGTTATCTTATCTTATCTTATCTTATCTTATCTTATCTTATCTTATCTTATCTTATCTTATCTTATGCTATCTTATGTTATGTTATCTTATGTTATCTTATGTTATCTTATCTTATGTTATCTTATGTTATCTTATCTTACTTTATGTTATCTTATCTTATGTTATCTTATCTTATCTTATGTTATCTTATCTTATGCTATCTTATGTTATGTTATCTTATCTTATCTTATCTTATCTTATCTTATCTTGTCTTATCTTATCTTATCTTATCTTATCTTGTCTTATCTTGTCTTTTCTTGTTTGTCGGACCCAAAAACCTGCACTCAGACAGAAGCTTTGGTCAAAGCAGGTTTTCTTTGGTTTCAACGGGAATAAATAATCCAAATTCATATGGATTTTCCAGCCAATCCAGATGTAAGCACAAATGTTTGACTTTTAAGGAACTCTTTAAGCTTCTTTTATGGTGAATTTGTCGGATGAAGTCTCCGTTTCTGACGATAGAAGAAACTCTGACGGAAAAACTCAAAAGAAATTTAAGAAAACTACAAATGAAACCGAGTGAAGTCACATGACTTCCCCCAGCCAATCAGCAAGGGGCTGAATGCTTCACCAATGGTGATGTCACAGGCTCTGACCAATCAAATGAGTCAAAATGTTCCATTTTTTTAAGAATTAAAGCGAATTAAACCTAAATATTGGCCAGAACCACCCATCATAAAATCAATATCCTTTAAAAGTTTGAGCTCAGAAAATATGACACATATAAATGAACCCCAGAGACATATTGACCAATTATGTCTCTTTCCTGATTGGTCAGAGCTGTGACATCACCGGTCATGAGGTCGTCTGACCCTTTTCAAAATGGCGTGAGACTTAAAACCTTCAAATCGTGCTCCAAAAAGAGAAAACAATCACGGCTAAAAACGATTCCTTTCAAATAAAAGCAGATAAATGTCATTATTTTCCACTTTCTTTCAGGTTTTCTCTGACAGAAAATCAAATCCATTCACCGTGACACCCCTAGCTTAATACCGTTAGCATCCCCCCTCACTAAAAACAGTCCTAATATAAAATGATCAAATGTTTTTCTGTTGAAACTCCTGCTGACGTGCGCACACCCATCAGATCGCATCAATAATGGAAGGGCTGCTTTTATTTGAGAGGGGGAGATCTGTTTACGCTCGTGGCTGCTGAGAACCGCATTGTGTGTCTTTATGAAGGCTGAAAACTGCCTATTTTTTAACCGGTTACAGGCAGTAAACAAAGGAGAAATGCAAATAATATCCCAACTGGAGGCCAGAGGGATTAAGAAACTGTTTCAGAATAAGACCAGGGAAAGGTTGGAGGTGATCCCCAAAAGTAAAAAATGCAGGTTAACCGAGTGGAAAAGGTCTAATGGTGACCGTCTACATGAACAAAACCACCAGTCAGGCCCTTGTTACTGTCATTTAACAGCAAAATTGTCACGTCTGGGGGAATTTTTTGTGTTTTTGTCCTGTCTCCATGTTGTCTTGTCATTTCCTGTTTTATTTTGAAAGGTTCATCCCCTGTCTGCTTGTCTTCCTTGTACCTATTGCCTTGCCCATTGTTTGACCTCGTAAGAGTGATTTTGCTTTAGATTTTTCTAGTCATTTTTGTTAACTCCAGTGAGTATTCTTTTGTTAGTTTGTTTCATAGCCTTTTGTCCTTCCTCTTTCGAGCGATTTTGATCTAATACTTTGTTGTTAGTCTTGTAAATCTTGTTTTGGTGCTTAGTTTCCACTCTGAGAGTGTGCTCTTGGTTCAATAAAACCTTTTTTGTACCACCTCTCTGCGCCTGAGTCCTGCCTCGAGTACCAATCCTGACAAAAATGTAAAGTTAAACAGGATTAAACCGGGTCTGGGCTCATGTTTGGACACAAATTGCCTCCACCAGACCCCCAAAACTGGCTGCTGCTTAATTAGAAGCAGTAGTTTGACCACTTTTGGGACATCCCTCCATCAGTTTTTGTTTTTTAAGGCCCAGCTCTTCTTGTTTTGTCCTCGAATGTTCCAGTTTCCTCAGATTTTGAGGATGCTGCACTTTTTGCATCATTCAGTGGTAAAAGCTTTGCTCAAACCCCTGTTGTACACATTCAGATATACCTGATAACAGCCAGTAGAAGAGTACACCAAAATATATATTTGACTTATTGCAGGCTAATTTGATCAAAATAATATCTGTTTTTTTTT